AAAAATTTCTAACGTTTCAAAGTTGGAAAAACGTTTTCTGTAGCTCGTACAAAACAGTATTCTCAAAAATTTTCTGGACTAAATAATGAATCGTTTAAACGTCCACATTTGGCCCCCCGATAATTTACAAAAAATAAGTTTAAAGAATTTCTACATATTTTTGTCGTAATCTTTTCATCAAACATTGTAGTTTATCAATTTCATTTTCAATTTTCACTTACTTGCACTGTAATTGGGTATTTATCTGATTAATATAGCAGGGGTACGTTGTTTACATCGATTTCCCATAGACTTTAGGCCACACCACCATCTTGAAAGCCCAATTTTATATGAGCGCATTCATGTTTCAAGTTGTAGTAAATAGGGTCAATGTAAAGAGTTAAACTTGTCATTTTAATTCATGAAAGAAATTGAAACAGTCGTGCGCTCACATGTTATTTTCCAAAAAGGTGCAAAATCACGGGTACCTGTCTCTATAGTAAAGGCACCTTGTTTACAAATTTCAACCCGCTTTTGACCTCATGAATAACAAAGCATTGAACACGTGACTCAAATCTATTCACTTTCATGCTTTGAGCAGATCAATGAGACATCGCGTCCAGTGTTGTGAGCTATCGATGGTCAAATCCTTTTCAAAAAGGTAATTACTAATTAGAATTTAAAGTACCATGGGACAAAATTTCTTTAGAACGGTATATTTAAGACTTGTTCACATTTTTGATTTACTTGTTATTTCAGTCAATTTTGTTTGATTTTTTTCCGGTATTTTTCAATATATTTTAGAGGCTTGTAGCATAAAGCTTGCACTTACTGCTTATATCTCATTAATACAGAATTTGAAAAAAAAAATACCGAAGGTATATATATTATCAATTTGCATGCATGTACATGTACATCACATCAGCGTTACGTTCATTGACTCTTGGAAGATAAAAAAAAAAAAAATTACGATATTTATTTGAAAAAACACCAATTTATCATATCTTTAGAAAATAAACCGTTTGTTACAAATGCGTAATTCCTTAAAGAATCCTTACGGAAAAGAAATTGATGGGTGGGGCAATAAAGATTTATATATCGGATCAAACACATTACACATGTTTTAATTATAAATAAAGGGAAACTCCGGGTTTCATCTGACGACACTACAAATGTTATAACGTTTTAATTACATCGGCACAAAATCTACCAACAATGAAAGATTTAAATATAGATAATAGTATGTAACAATAAATCGAATGAAAAAGGGCGTAATTTTTTTTTGAAATGGTTCATTGTTTATCTCACTAGTAGCTGCAGCTCTCTGCTTGAGAAAATTCGGACAGATAAAGCAGAGAGCTACAGATCCAAGCATAGTAAAAACCTTCGATTTATGCCGACGATTTTTTGTCGCTACATAAGTTATTTATTTCGTGTAGTTTATGCTTCTATGGCTTTTAGAATGGTACCTTATTATAATTCATGTATTTTACTCTTATATTTGATACTTTGTTTACCTTTTAGCCGTCCGAAACAGTCCTGTATATAGTTTTGTAATGTCGGTTTAAAAGAGTTCCATTTCGACGTCCGTAACCACAAACAGCCATTTGTTAGCGTTGAGAGGTAAGGAAATGATCAGGAATTGAAGTTGAATGTATGATTAATTATTAAATACCATTTAAAATTATTATCATAGCCGAGGAAAGTAAAAAATACATGGAAAAGTGCCCATAGTGAGCGACAAAAAAATCGTCGGCGTAAATCGAAGGTTTTTACTATGCTTGGATCTGTAGCTCTCTGCTTTATCTGTCCGAATTTTCTCAAGCAGAGAGCTACAGTTCTGCAGCTATCTCACTAGAGGACGAGAATTTTTTTAATAATGCAATCTGGAATGTACAAAGTACACTTGTCTAACACTGAAGGTTTTTTATATCTAGCAACGATAATATTGACGTTAAACTGACGTTTAATTTTCACTTTCTTGCGAATTTATTTTTTATACACAGAGTGAAGTTTTATATCACAATTCAACCGCATTTGTTGTAGCACACCAACTTCACAAAATTATATATATGTACATGATATGAAATAATTATTCGCGGGAATGTAAAAAGCAAATGAATTATAAGCTTTAATGGATTGATTATTATCTCAATTAAAATAAAGTTTTAAGTATGAAAAAGAGTGAATCCTGCATTATGCGTTCTATTCACAAATTCCATTGTGTGTATTTATATATAAATAATTTGACGAATTTCTAATAAATAATTTCAAATATAAATCGTAATTTAAGCAGAAAAAAATTAAGCCTGACAAATTAAAAAAAGGATGCTTATATGAGTTCAGTCTCTTGCACTAAAAAAGGGGCTTTTAGGTGTCACTTTATCATAAAATGTAGTACACTTCGAACACACGCTAATGTATTCATACTAATCGCACGAATGATAGACACCACGCCTTCCCATTCAAATGCTAATACTACAATGGCCTATATATAGCGAATGGCGAAGTTTTACTGTGAAATATGCGACTTTATTTAACCGATATCATGTATATATTAAAAGGCTCTTTCCTAAAAAATCCTTAATTAGTAACTATACAGATTATACTTGAAGACTTCATCTATAAGATAACAATGTTCCTATTTAAAAGGGTAAAATTCTGCATTTAAAAAGGGGCGAGATTGCAGTGTTAAGAGGATTCATTCTTTACAAGCGTTACTATACATATTTTTACCAATACAAAACCTGTGTAAATTGAAATATTTATGAATCGTGTACTTTATTGGCGATTCATCAATGTCAAATTTCACCCTGATTTTGTCCATTCGTTTACTTAACTTTCTCTGCAAGTATATAGCCCTTTCCTTTTTTTTTGGCGGGGGGCTACAACTCCTTAAGATCTCCGTAATAGTGCAACTGCGGAAGCAATTCACTCCCGCATGGATTTCGGCTCAAATTGTCAGTAAATGACTTTTTAAAAAACATTTCTTACCTTGACTCCAAAGATATAGTTATCCTAGACATGATAAAAATAATGATAAAAATATACAGGGCAATCCATATATCAGTCTTTTTCGTGATGTTAACATCACACCTTAAATTTATCCGCCATGTTTACTGACCTTGACATATTTTATTTTGGGACAGCCAATGAGATTAAGGATCTATAGGGAGCAAATTGCTTTGGAATTGCCTTATTGCAGCCCGAGGACCGGGAAGCTCTATACATATAAGTTTAAGTGTTGGTGTATGGGGATTAGGGTGGGAGTAGTTATTCAGAATTCAAGGTTTTCTAAACATTGAAAAGATTATTCATCAGAATGTTCTTTCCCTTTATAAATTACGAAAGATATAATATATTTACTTTAAAAAAAACCGTTCACGGTAGCTCAGTCGGTAGAGCGCTCGCATCGTGAACGGGAGGTCGTGAGTTCGTATCTCGGCCGCGACTGACCTAAGTCGATAAAAAATGGGTAGCAAGTGTTCCTTCGCCATGCGCTCGGCACTTTGAAGTGAAAGTTGCGGGTCCTTCGGATGAGACCTTAAAAACCGACGCCCCGTGTCAGCAGTAGGTGTTGGCACGATAAAGATCCCTCACTGCTCAATGGCCCTGAGTGCCGAGTAAAGGTCAAAATTTGAAGCCCTTCACCGGCATACGGTGACGTCTCCATATGAGTGAAAAATTCTCAAGAGGGACGTGAAATAACATACATACAATCAATCAATACTTCCAAAAAATGAATATGTAAATATATATATATATATATATATATATATATATATATATATATATATATATATATATATATATATATATATATATATATTTTTTTCATAGTTAATACATGAAGTTGCTTATCATTTACTATCGAAAAAATGACAGATCCCTTTTTTTAGAACATCGAATTTTATTTCTCGCATAAAAACGTACTCTGCACAGTTCGTGTTTTATATTCTAAAATTGAAAAAATATACATTTTTGAAAACAAATGATGTATGTGTCCAACTTCAATTTACATTCTATGCAGCCACATTTACTTGAGGAACTGATCAAGTTTAAAAAAGTATCGTTTTTGTTTGATTTTTATCCGACTATAAGTTTTCAAAATATTCGCGACTATCGTCTCATCAATTAGACGCATACATTTTAACACATATCGAAGCGGTTTGATGATCAAGACTCTTTCATTGTTTACTTAGTATATTTCCCGGGCGACAATTGATGGTTACATCAATGTTTTCTTGTTTTAAGCTTAAATAACGCTGTTAACGGAAAAATAACAGATTTTATAATTTTATTTATCGATGTTTAATGATACTAGTCATCACAATTAATTATAAACAACGACACCTGTTTACTTTAGTTATTTTATATTTCAAGAGCAAGTCTTTGTACGTCATGCGTGAACTGTCATGGCTGTTAAAGACAACACGAAGATTTATTGAACATGGTTTTCGCATTTAACGGGCTATGTTGTCGACATGAATAAAAATCTCGTCTTATTAAAAGTAAGTTGAATGTAAAAACTATACGCATTTTTTTTCTGCCTGCAGTCGCCCGTATTTAAAAAAAATATATATATATATTTTACACCATTTCAGAGATGCTGTGGAATTGTAGCCCTCTCCGGATAAAATCAAATAAAAAATTAGAGGCTGCAGTTTTGCAGCTAACATAATTTATGACTATCCTTTTCCTTTATTCTATTTTGGAACTTTTCATGAAAAAAAAACATCTCTTTTAATAGGAAAAGGTCAACCTAATTTTTCATATTTTGTAGATACTTATTTATGTTCATTTGATTTAATTTTTTTACCATAAAGGTTTCTCAACATATCAATTTTAACTCAGATAAATACAACTTTGTTCCCCTGTGTCTTAAAACTAAAGTGAGATAAAACTACAATGGCAAGACAACCTGAATAGTGAATGTGCAAAGAAGTTCATGAGCTATAAAAAAAACTAAATGAATACATATAAAATGAAAAAGAAAACATGTAAAAAGAGAAAACAACCACCTTCTCGACAAATGGGTCCCTTCCATCCAGTGTAACAAGGTGATGTACATTGTCCAGAGAATCTGTCACACTCATCACAATTACTACAAATCTCAGAACAGTTATGTCCGTGCCAACCATCAGGGCATGCTAAAGACAAGCAATACGTTTAAAAGTAAAATCAAGATGTGTTTGCTAAACACAATATGCCCGGCGGCACACAAAATTTGAAGAAAAAAATTAGCATAAAGATCAGTCATTGCACAATATCATTGATCTTGTTTTCATTTGAAGGAACTAAAGTAGTGAAATATTCATACAAAATATGAATTCTCTATCTCCCATGGTTCAAATGTGACGGCTAAAGTTCTGAAAAGCAATTTCTAGCATGTAGGTCACTGTCAAGGACACAAGGTCTTTGACCTTGGTGTTAATAATATTTATCTCATTCTGCATTTTATCACATGCTCTTTAAAAAGGCAGGGTCTCTCAAAAATGCTTATTGGTTATTCCATGAAAGCTCTTACGAGTTTGGCATTTATCACCATAAACACCGACGTCACATCCGTTTGTACAGCTTCCGTTGACATGGTGACATGCTCTGCCCTCACTACAGTTACCACATCTCAGAGAGCAGATTTCTCCGTAGAATTGAGCACTACAAGCTTAATAATACAAGGATATATTAAGACTATGTCAGGCTTAACCTTTTTACCTTGTCAGTATCAGTTAATAGAACATCTGTTTTGACTAGTTATTGTCCTCATTTTGTAAAGTCCAAATATTTTTATATTTCTATGAAACAGCAAAATTACCATTCATTAACAAACGGCATTTTGATTTGAAAATAGCACAAAGACAAACAAAAGTTGTATCTTTTATTGTAATTTGAACTAATTATTGTACGTATTTATTCTCTGTACATTAAAAATGTTTTACTTTGTTTTACAGCACATTGTAATTATGACGTTTAACATTTCTTATCGGCCTTCCCTTTTCACAAGAGTTTTTTTTTTTCTTTAAGACCACTTTTTCTTAAGAAAAAAATATAAAGGGAACGTGTCGTACATTATAATCAGATCAATTAAGTAGACACGAATTCGCTAACTTTATGGACAAATTGCCACAAGAGATTGATTTTAAAGCTTACGTAATTCACATTGAGATTCCTTATATCCGGGTTTACACCACTCACATACGCCTGTTTCTATGTGACAATAACAACAGTTGTCAGGACAGGAGAGAGAACAATCTGGTCCATACACGCCTGTTTCGTTACAACCTAAAAATGTTAATTTTACTTTAAAGAAATGTTTTAATTACAATTTTATGAAATGGAAAATGTTATTTCTTACAACATCGTAAAATTAACTAGTTATGAGTGGAGATAATAGTAGCCTTAAAAACAAGATGTGAAATACTGACGCTCCTTATGAAGGAGTTTACAAAAGGTGATACCTCTGAAATTCAGGTCAAACTTCGAAGAAAGAAAATGTAATCAATAAATTTACCTTTGAAATCTGAAAGCCATACCTCTAATCTGGACCGTAAGGGAGCATCATAAAACCATTATTGTCATGATTAAAGATTTTGAAATGTTAGAAAATTCCAAGGTCATAAAGGTAAAAAAAAAAAACCTTAATGTACCTAGGATAAGTTCCTTTCATAAAAATACATATGTGATCTATTTAAGATATAACACTTTTTTAAATTATAGCCTATGTTAATTTAAACAAAAGGCCCAGGGGCCACATCGCTCACCTTTGCAATTTGCCAGGAGAAAGCACATATCAGATCGGAATTAAAAGTTTACTGAGTCGGGGGGGGGGGGCTTGAATTTTAACCCCCAGGGGTTTATGGTTTGAACAAACTAGAATCTACACTACCTGAGGATGATTCAATATAAATATCACTAAGCATGGATTTGAAGTACGTGAAAAGTGGATTTTAAAAGGTTTCCCTATATATTCTTATGTAAAACTTTGATTGTTCATTTTGGCCCCATCCTATCCCCGGGGGTCATGCTTTGAACAAACTTAAATTTACACAACCTGAGGATAATTTCACATGAGTTTCATCTTTCCTCTCTCAATGGTTCTTGAGTAGAAGATTTTTATAGATTTTTCCTATATATTCCTATGTAAAACTTTGATCGGCCATTTTGACCCTGCCCTAGCCCCGGGGATCATGATTTGAACAAACTTGAAATTACACTACCTGAGGATGATTCCACGTGAGTTTCATCTTTCCTGGCCCAGCGGTTCTTGAGAAGAAGATTTTTAAAGAATTTTCCTATATATTCCTATGTAAAACTTTGATCGACCATTTTGGCCCTTCCTTTCCCCAGGGGGTCATGATTTTTACAAACTTGAATCTACACTACCTGAGGATGATTCCACATGAGATTCATCTTTCCTGGCCCAATGGTTCTTGAGAAGATTTTTTTTTAAAAATGCCATTATTTTTTCTCTTATTCATAATTATCTCCCCTTGGAAAAGGGCTTGGCCCTTCATTTGAACAAACTTGAATTCCCTTTACCCAAGGATACTTTGTAGCAAGTTTGGTTGAAATTGGCCCAGTGGTTCTTGAGAAGAAGATGAAAATGTGAAAAGTTTACAACGACGCCAAGAACGACAACGACGAGGACAACAACAACAGACAACGGAAAAATTTTGATAAGAAAAGCTCACTTGAGCCTTTGGCTCAGGTGAGCTAAATATATATTTTTAGGTCAAGGGTTTATTGTTTGTTAAGGAAGGAATGGAAAAGACTTTAGAAGTAAGAAGCATTTTTAAATTGTTGGTGTGGACAAAAAGATAAAGAGACAAATAGAGGAACGGACAGTGCAAACACTATATACACCAAAATTCCCCTTCATGGGAGCCCTTATCATAAACAAAAAAAATAATTTTTCAAAAACATCCTTAACTTCATTTGAAAGACTATAAAAAAAAATGAAGTTAGGTATTGAATTTTTGTTTAAAAAATAAAAGAAAACGAAAAATGAAAAGCCTGCATCTCATTTTTTGAAATATGCTGAAGATGACCTAATGAAAATACTAACGTTAACAAAAATTTACTTTAGTTAAGTATACGTACATGAAACTATGTGATAACTTTGACACTATTAAAACTTTTATATACTATGGTGATATCTTTCACACTTTGATTTATAAAGAGACAAACATGAAGACTTTTATTTACCATAGTAATCACTATGGAAAAATTCTTTAATTTGATTTACTATGGTGATAACTTTGACTCTATAGTTATCATTTGAAACCTAGAATTGATTATAGGGATAACTTTGCCACTTTGATTTTATTAGGTTAAACATAGTTAACAATAGTATTTCTATTAAGGTATTTCCTCTGAAATATATATCGAACAAATGAACATACCATATACTTCAACTTCACAAAGTTCGTTGAATGCATATTTGCTAAATTCCGCAGCACGTTCTGCATCCTGTGGTCTGATGTTGTAGTAGATGAGATATTGACCGTGAACAGGACAAGTAATGTTGGCAATTGACGGTATTGTTGCCCTGGTGTAATTTGTATCATGAAAACAAAGATGACCATCAAATATGTTTGTCGTATTAGATACATAAACATAAAATCCTAAAAATCTAGCAGTGTAGCCATTCGAAGCATCTGAAACAAAATTCAAAATACTGACTACATGCAGAAAAAAAAAGTGGGGGCCTAAAGAATAAAAAAAAACAGTAAACCCTAAAGAAAGTTAATAAATGAAATGCACAGTATTAAAATATTTGACTGAGATTGAAATATATTCAAAAATCAAAGAGTGCTTTATAATATAAAAACACGATCAATCATGTCTACGTAATCCCTGTTGAGATTCTGCTAGGCTAGATATTTGGACTGACGCCGTCGCAGAATCCCTGGACAATCATTAATAATTCATGTCTGGAGATTAAGTCCCAACTTCGGTCGACTATAGCAAGAATTATTCACCTAGACCACACTGCCGTTCGCTTCAATTAAGTCATTTAGTTGTTTATTTGACTCTCTGTCACTATTATTTCTACATAGCTTACCGTTTAGGCATGTAAATCCAAACATAAAAATATTCACTGAAATCTGCTTTCAAAATATGGCTCCCGTGACGACATTGTTTACCTCCTTCAATAAAAGAGTGTCCTATAGTCTGGTTTTACCCTATGTGATGTTCAATAGCCACAGTAGATTTGGTTAAGAGTCACATAGGGTAAAAACAGACTAAAGGAACTCTTTTATCCATAAAAGAAAAAATACGGTTCACCAACTTTTATTCCCGTGCGAGAAATTTTTGCAAAGTTTGCAAGAGACTCTTCATCGCAAATATTCCTCGCCTTGAACCGGACTTTAAAGTGAATATATCTATTAACAACATATCTAAAAAGGCTTGATCGTGAAAATCAATCGTCGCAAACTAGTTTATCCCTTTTAAATCGCAAAATAAAGTCGTCGCAAATAAAAGTTGGTTAACAACATTATGTTTCAATGTTAATTATATTTAAAATTGGTCCTCTCTGATTTTAATGAATATCTGCCACTGTTCAAATTCGCGAATCATGAGTTTTTTGCGGTCATGTGACTTGCTCTGTTGCTTAAGGTCTGTCACAAAAGCAGAGAGAATTTAATTGATATTTTTATTTCATATTTCTTTCCATAAAAGACCCCGTGGGGATCCGGGTTAGAATAGGTCCTCAGTACCCCCTTGCTTCTCGTAAAAGGCGACTAAATTGGGCGGTCCTTCGGATGAGACCGTGCAAACCGAGGCCCCGTGTCGCAGCACCCCTCCCTGCTCAATGGCCCTGAGTGCCGAGCATAGGCCCAAATTTGCAGCCCTTCACCGGCAATGGTGACGTCTCCATATCAGTGAAATATTCTGGAGAGGGACGTTAAACAGTATACAATCAATCAACTTTCCATAAAAGTTTTATTATAACAAAAACAGTGAATTTGTCTGAAATTGCCAATTCTCGGCAAAAAAAAAAGTGATTGGAAAAGACTTTTTTTCCCATAATGAGCATGGCAACCATCAAAACCAAAATCCGGGGGAGTCATTCATTCAAGGTGGATACAGTGTGGATGTTTTCTTTTTATCATATTCAAAATGTTTAAAATCTGAAGTAAACGATATATTATTAATTTTATATTCATATTATTGTCAAGCTATGCAACTATTTTAAACGGTTAATTGGAGATCATTTGTAATAAATTTATTAATTAAAAGCACTTTTCTTTTCAAATATGCTTTCACTGGGCAATAGAACATAATTTTTAAGTATCTCCCTTTCTTCACTAAAATTATCGATCAAATCATTGAATTTATTTCTAGCAAGTCTTTTCTCTTAATTTACTGTGTATAAATCATTATACGCTATTGCAAAGTAATCTAAATTCCGGAAAACAAAGTTTACAACATATAAGATACACACATTCATAATATTAAAATACTAGATGAAATCAACACAGTTTTATATTCAGAACTACGTGCTTGAAAGCCTGAATTATCATACATATGTAGAATATGAAACGTGTAAGATTGCAAGTTTGAATTTACCAACGAACAAGTCTGGACTTTTGAATAAGATTAACCCCACCCCCAACCCCAAAAGACCAATGTTTATTTTTTTTTTTTTAAATGTAACAAAACGTGTCTACTCACTCCATAGTGCATTGTCCGTCCTGTAATATATCTTTATGTCATGAATACTGTGGATTGACGTCAAGTTTACCCACCAGGTGGCGGTTCTGTATCCATTAGCTGATATAACACATTGTCCTCCATTGGCAGAGAGGTTTGTCTTCAGACCATCAACAGCATTACTGGAGTCGAATGTAGCAGCTGGATAAATTGTACTGATATACGGCTGTGATTGTTGTGTGGGTTTGTTTAAAGCTATGTTTTCTAAAAGGAATGCCATCTACATGTTACACTGCTCAGTTCAATAATATACTATCTTCGGGGTAATAAAATCATACATTCGTTTATGAGTGAGAGAGTAGGCGCTTAAGGAAACGGTTGTGGAGGAATTTGCTCAAGGATTGATGCCTAATGCTGTTTTGATTTATGGATATGCTCTTTGAAAGAAGATAATCCCCTTTCCAGTGTCCTTTTCCATTTGTTATGGTATATTAATTGTTTTAATTAACACATCTTTTAAATTAAGTCCTATTTACATTTACTCTAAATATTTTTATGAACTTTATATATACTACATCATTGTATAGTATAATGCATGGAAACAATCTTGCACTTTGTTATAACATGAAATTCCTTCAAATGGTCTTATATTTTCTTTTTTCTTCTATCATAAAAAATAATGTTTAGATTAAACTAAAATCATTAAAATAGCTGTGCAGACACGCCATTGTATACATTTAAAGACATATGATACAACCATGCATTTTTTTTTTTCTTTACATGAGACATAATATCATGTCATGTTTAGAAAAATTGATAATTCTTTGGTTTTTTCTCATGATAAAATGCATATTCATAAAAACCAGAAACTCACCATAAGCAAGAGTGTCATCATTTCTTAATACCATGAAATATATTATAATGTTAGCTAACGTCATGTCTTAGCAATGTTACACTAGACTAAATGTGGTGTTAAATAAATTCTTCCGGTTTAAAATTATGTTTTTTTTTATCATTTGAATATCCTAGTCTCAACTCAATAGATTGTCTGCTGCTAAACGTCCTAGTTATGATAAAATAATAAATAAGAGGAAGAATAACGAATCTAGGTAAACAAATTGTATAATACATAGAAAGAAGGAACGATAATTAATATTTATGTTATTGACTTCATATGAGATAAGTAAATGAATGAGCTAGAAAACATGTCCCAAATGTGCGGTTTGGGACATAAATCCAGACGGTATGCATGTAAGAAATTTCTTGCCAAAAAACATAACAAAACAATGCTGAATAAATTGTTTTTAAGACAGCCATTTTCCAAAAAAAAAAATGGATATTAACAGCAGTTGTACTCGGAAAGTTAAGCAGTTTTATATTTATGCATACGTTGTGTAAAATCATGGGGCTTTCAAAGTATAAGTGTATTACTAATGCACAATACTTAGATCAAGAGATACTTTACTGCATGTTAAAATTTGACATATAGTTACGCTTTATACAAATATGGTTACCCATTTTTGTCTCTAACAAACAATGCAATTGAAAAATCACAAAAAGGAAATGATTGCTTTTGCTTAAATGATAAATATTTAAATAGTGAGTTAGGTAAAAATAAATTTCGTCATTATGCAGGGATAAAACAAACAAATTAATGTGTGTTCTTGACTTCTGTTTTTTTTTATCAGTACGAAATCAAGGCGACTGAAGTTTGTGTTGATGAAGTATAATGAAATAACAGCAGCATTGAAAGATTAAATTTAAAAAAATCATTTATTCAAGTAAAAAGAAAACGGAGAACAAAAGACAATTACACATCATTATGGGGACAAAGGAGTCCAGAAAAAAAATATAGAACATATGAAATTCTCATTATCATTTATGACCTTTATTTATCTAGATCCATTGATTATTTTACAAATTGAGGGGAGAAAAACACCTCTAAGGCAAGTGTTCCCACGTATGCTAAATCCAAGGCCCCTTGTTTTCTGTTTTTTAACGCTTTTTTTACAGAAATTAATGCATACATTAAATTTCATAACCATCGCCCTTTTCCGCGTAAACATAATTAAAAAAAAAAAATCAAGGATCTTATATTACAAGTTAAACTGTGAACTTGTGAACTGAAATATATCTTTTTGGTAGCTTCATATTAAAGGCCGGTCGTTTTTGTTTTTATTTCCTTCAGCAGCCCCCGAAAGACACGCCTCGGTAATAAAAACGAAGGAGAAAAAAATTAAGAAACATGTTTTAGTATTTACGTGCACAAAAATAACTTTCTGTTCATCAAAAAAAAAAAATTCAAAATCGAAAACTAGTTATATAGAAATCGAAATATCGGTTTTATTTTTCTTTTTCCTTTTCATATCTATTTTGTTGATTTTGTTATAAGTTTTGTCGATATTCTTTGTATACAATTAAGAATTTTAAAAATGCATAGTCGTGTGAAAAATTAAATCATCAAAGATTATATCCCTTGCCCAGCACACCATTTCAGATTTGGATATTGTTGAAAATTTCACACCATACATTTTCACCAACTACATGTACAAAAGAAGAGCAACGTCCGAAGACTGTAAAATACGTCAACCTTGTTTGTTGAAGACTAGTAATAATGATTTTTACAAATACATTTCGCTTCATTTTTGCGTGGAAGGGGAGAGGGGGGCGGGCAATCTAATTTACTAATATACCCTCCAAAACAAGAAACCCTATTTTAATTTTTAGTGACACATCAAAAGTAAAGATTATTTAAAAGATGACTAATTAAGGACGCGGTGATCAATTGGTCAACAGTCCAAATGTAATAATGACTAGAGAATTTAAGAACTGTAACAAATTCAATGTCATTAAAGATCACTACCCGGTATTCCCCTGCGTACACCAATGATATCTTGATAATGCAATAAGATGGTAGTGTTTGTGGCGTTTCATGCTCATCCATTTTGTCCAATTTATACTCAATAGGGAAGAAATCTGGCGATTTAATTGTTCAAGAGATGCAGAAGAGGGTGCAGCAGGTTTGAAAGAATTGGCTATCAAAGAATGGATGCATTGTCAGTTTAAAATACGGCTCAGGGGTGCTGCAATATATTGAAACACTTGTGCAGTTATCGCATCGGTAGAGTACACTATTCCATCATTTGGATATGAAGCAAATCAGACCTACATGTACATGTATCTAACACTGTTTAAATACCATTACACAACTACAATCAATTCTATCAACCTCACTAAGACAGATTTTTATAAAATGTTAATTAAGAAGTCTTTGCATTCTGAATCTTACATCAGGTTTTGCATTAAACATATTGGACTAATAACTAAACCAAACTGTTCAAATTATAGTTTAGTGTCCACTAAAATTATCAATGTTGACTTTGGCTTAGCTTCGGTCAATAAACAAACTTTTTTATCCTTATCTGTGATTTGTAATGGCATGTGCAATAAGATAAAAAAAAACTGAAAGAAATAATAATTTTAGTTCTCATCTCAAGTCTGCAAGAATATCCCAAAGTCTATTGCTGACGCTTATCATTTGATAACGTCATACGTTGAGGGTTCTTTAATGTCACTTAGCTCTTGGTATTCACTTTTAATATTTTCAGTGGACATTACATCTACGTAACCAGTATTGCATTGAGGATTTTTACTCTCCTTCAAAGTTTTCTGTGCTTTCCTTACGATAATGCGACGTCTGAAAATGGAAGAAAAAATATACTCAATTAGATTATAGCTTCGGAAATATTTTTCTTCCTTTACAAAATAAATAGATTGAGAAATTTAGATTTCGAATGGTTAAATTCAGACGAATACGTGAAGTACCGTTGCAGGAACACCACCACTAACAAAACAACTATGACTGCTACACATACACAAAAAGCAGCAAGAAGACCATAAAATCGAGACGGCCAGTCATTCTCCTCTTTTTCTTGGACTGAAACAATTTAATAATCTTATTTTTTTTTTTCTATAAATTCATTGTTGATTTTTTTTTAATGATGAAAACTTCGATTTGCTTGCGAAATGCTACTTCTCTAAAACATTGAGTGTTGGCTCTATATCTCTTTGTCAGTTATCTTAAATGATGTGTTTAATTCAATATCTTTTTTTTAAATAGGCGTTCAATCTGTATCATACAATTAAAATGAATATAATGTCTCCCCTCATGCAAGATATATGTTCATGTACAACAAGCATAACATTTCATTTAGGCATAGAATTAAATGTTTAACGAAAAGAAAATAATAATAATGATAGCAAAATAATAAAATAAATAAATAATAAATGATATCAAAAGGAGAATGTTTATTCCAATTTTACAAAATAGTGACAATAAATGAATGATGTATAATTTTATTGTTATAATTACTTTGGAAGCAATCGTGTCCTTGCCAGCCTGATTTACAGCCCTCGGTACATGAACCTGTCTCGTAATGACAGTCGCGTGTTGTCTTACAAAATGCACTACATTCCTCTTTGCAGTCGGATCCAAAATAACCAAAACTACAAACTGAAAACAGAAAATCTTACATATTTGTTTAGTTAAAATAAAAATTTAACAAGTTATATTGCACCAAAACATGCTAAATATTACAATCAAATTAAATTTTTTTCTGCAATAATTTTATACTGAAAGTAGCAGAGAAAAATATCAATCAAATGTAATGGTACAAAAAATTAATTCATATATATTATATTTTTTTTCAGTTAAAATAGATATCAATTTATCACTTGTAAGAAATAAAATTAATTTATGATAAAACAACATCACGCTGATAGGAAATTATTCGACACAAAAATGCAAAATACTGGTGCATATCTAGGTGTACACGAATACACATTAATAAATGTTTACACTGGTTTATTTTTTTGTATGGAAATTCTGAAAAATTACATATTTTAATTAAATCATTTAATAATTAAAAAAAAAGTCTTTGAGAAAACAAACACATATATGCCTTATCTTTGAAAACAATGTTTATAAGTTTTAAACCATGATTAAATGTAAAACCATGTAGCCTTTATAACTATTCTTCTAATTTACATTAAATCTATCATTTTCTCTTTCTAGAATGAAGACACCTTCATTTCGTTTTCTGATTCTTACCCATCCCAAAAAAGTAGCATAAAAATTGTATAAAGTTCGCTTTGTGTTATTATTTCGTGCTTTTATGAATTAAAGCAAACCATATATGTCTACTGTCTCCGTTTAAAGAATCTTTATTAATATTGACACATGTATGTCATATCTTTTATTAATCATTTAAACGTTTTAAATCCCAATTACACATGTAGTAATGGACCTTTGTTACCTTTATTGCACTTCTCCCCTTGGTATCCTGGATTACACCCGTCCTCGCAAGAACCATTCACATGATGACACTGGCGTAGATATCGACAACTGCCACAGGTTTTCCCGCAATTAGGGCCATATTGGTTTCCGTCGCATTCTTATAAAGTTAGGAATTTATACAATATATCTAATGAGAGCAATAAAATATGTATTGATACAAAAAATCTATGAAATCATTCAATACTTAGTCAAGCTTATTAGTGTGTTCCACCATATTTAATTCGGAAATTTTAATTTCAATTATGTATATTTATATATATGTGATGAAATTATCAATCCAAATGTGTTTTTAATATTTTAAAATAAAAATTCTAAAAGCTTGGAAAACTGTAACATATAAATAATAACTGTTAAAACAGAACAAAAAACGTCTGTTAAAGTTATACATGAACTTTGTGTTTGTTTCTATCTAACAAATTCAATCAGTGTAAAATAGCACATATTTTAAGGTCTATTGTTGTTATTTTTACTGCATTGCCGACCATCATGTAGCATAGTCGGTAGAGGTCTAATTCCGTGTTTGATTCACAACCACAACTGACGTAAGTCGATTAATATTGAGAAAAAAATGTAAATTCGCAAAATGATTTAACCATTGACATGAACGCTGTTGGTCCCTCGGACGAAATTCAAAAACCAATGCACCGTGTCACGCAATGCGTATGCAAATAAAAACTCTCAATGCGAAGGGGCACTGAGTCTTGGAAAAAAAGGTCAAAATTTGGAGCCCTCCATCGGTATATAGCGCCATCCCTATGTGAATGAAAAACTCTCAAACCGAACTTAAAACACGATACAGACATCCAGTCAATAATGTCTTACATTTAAAAGGTATCAACTGCATATTTTTTACATGTCAAATATACTTTCATTACCATACCTTGATATTATATCTTTTATTCATATAGGTCATGATCGATGGAGAATATATTGCGTGTCGTCAGTATATTGAAAGGATAAAGCAAGAATAACTCCATGCACATAAGTATTGAAAGGACATTTGCTACATATATACCCATTTTTCAAAATATTAATTCACAGGACAATCTTATATCATTGTACATAATATGTTGTCTACTAAATGAAAAATAAAGTATACATGTATTTACAATTTCAAAACAATTATATGAATGGAAATATACTTTCCCGTGCACATTTAATGTGCGTCTTTGTGTGTGTCTAGAGCAGGTTACTCAACATATTTTTTTCATAATGATCAGAGATGATACAAGATTTTATACAATGAAAATATGCAGCGATATTTATTTTGAAAGATTAGTTGGTCATTTTATATTTCATACAGATACCATTTGCAGAGTCTCGAACAAAATTCAAATAAGACCTATTCGAGTACATTATTTAAATATATGTTTTACCCTTATCACATAATAGTCCTTTCCATCCTGATTTGCATCCTCCCTGGCATTCCCCTGTGGTATGGTTACATCTCCTCGGTACTGAGCAGTTCTCGCTACATGTATCTTTACAGTTTGCACCATACCTTCCAGGAGAGCATCCTTAATTCATACAAAGAGAATTAATATTTTCATCAGCTCTCTAAATAAATAAATAATTTCACGCAGCTATTGTCTCAATGCACTTGCATCTTCACTTGATGACGTTTACAGTTATACCTCTATATGAGAGGTCTTTTTTAATCATTCAAATGTAAAATACAGTTACTTTTTATTTTGTAAAGTCGGAAAAAAGGGATAATTAAGAATGATCTGATTAGAGTCATGCTTATTAATTTTTGTTATTATTATTATTATTATTATTATTATCATTGTTATTATTATAAGTAGTAGTAGTAGTAGTAGTAGTAGTAGTAGTAGTAGTAGTAGTAGTAGTAGAAGTAGTAGTAGTAGTAGTATTATTGCGTAGTCCTATTATTGTTTTTTTTTCAATATTATTAAATGTTTCTGGCCTGCACAATAGCAAATGATGAAATCGTATTCGTTTAGTTTTTTGTATGTTAAAGTTGTATAACATTGATGTGTATTATGATTTTTTTTCGGGGGTGGGGGGTGGGGGTCGTAGTGGGATGAGCATGTATGAGTATGAGTCGTTGTCGCTGCTAAATCTAACGTCAGGCAATTGGTTATTCTCATGATGTATGATAAGAATGAAATAGAAAATCAAAATCCTGAGTGAAACTACATGTAGTCTAATTACAATACCATAAGCATATTATTAAGCAGTACACTAACATTTATTTTTAAATCTTGATTCAACATAAGTGATTATTACCTTTGATGCAGAGTTGACCATAGTAACCTCTATCACATCCTTCTAGACATGTTCCATTGATGTGATGACACTGTTCGTAATCCAAACAGACGCCACAGTCCTGACGGCAGTCTTCTCCATATTTACTCATATTGCATTCTAATAAGTACATCATTACTTGGTTATTCTTATATAATTTATTAATAAAACAAGGACATTGATTCTGTTTATATAAATTGTTTTACTATTATTAAAAGACTGGTCCATGATGATATGCTTGAAATGAACTCTTTTTCACCAAAGAAAAAATATTGAAGATCATGAAGGGGAAAAGAATGAAGTTTTTAAAATGGGTATTGATATTGAGCATAATTTTTAAAATTATGAAGAAATCTCACTCTGTTCACAGTGTTCACCCTTGTAGCCTGGACTGCATTGAAAACAATTTCCTGATTGTATTTGGCAATATTGCCTGCAATTTACAGGACATAGAAGGGAACAATTTGAGCCATATCGCATTGGATTAACACAACCTATATAAAGTATAATATAGCATTGTTTAACAGTCAATAATAAACAAGCAATGCGCCTCTTTAAAAAAAACGGAAAAATTCTCTTCCCTTTTTGGTAAAAAATTCACAAATTATTTCCATATTTACAGAACCACAGTTTGAATCAGAATGAAACTGGACACAAATATAGTGACACAAATGTTTTATAAAAAGCAGATGTTATATAATAATTTGCCTCATGTCTGTGACCTCACAACGCGAAAATGACATATATACGTTGGTGAATCGTTAGAAAAAACGTTGACTCTGTCATTCTCGTGCAACGAACGGCTGAAAAGTTTAATGCTTATCTTTGAAATCGCGTTGCAGTTGTACAATAATTTGTACAAAGTTTATGAATACCCAAGACTTGCCAACAGTCCAGTCATTAATTTGATTGAATGTTTAAGTAACTAAAGGGAGATGGTAAAATTGATATTTGTTCTGTTGTCTAGTGAAAGCAAATGGAGAAGATATATGTCCTTAGTTGAGCAATAAAAGTTATAAAAGATACCAAAGCTAAAGTTAGAAAAAAAGTTGAATTTCCTAGCCGTAATATAATTATTAAATCTCTAAAATATCGTTTACTGTTGTCTTGCTATCATATCAGCTATGATAAAATAAAACATCCACACTTTATACAAATTGGATAAATGACGCTTACAAGACAAAGGACCAGGGTTGATGATGATCTCTGTGCTCATTCTTGGAAAAAAATATTCTTATCCACGGATCCTAAATCTGAAATTTGGCAATTTCTGACAGATGTATTGTTCTTGTTATACAAACAATACGCATGGTTATATACAAGACTTGGAAAAATCTTTTAGCTTTTTTGAACAGAACGCTGCTTAACATGTCACGTGATTGCCTAGATCACTATTCGTGCTTTGGCAGGAAGGTGGCAGATATCACTGCAATCGGAGTGGACTACTTGAAACACTAATAAAAATGGAACCCTAATTTCATTTTTTTATGAAAGTAACTCAATTTATTCGCAAACTTTTTGATCACCCCTTGTATATGTTCTTACCATACACCTCAACTTCACAGAAATCAGTAAATGCATACTGAGAATATCCAGTCGGATAATTAACATTTTGAAGTCTTTCATTATAGTAGATGACGTATTGGCCGTGTACAGGACAGGTTATGTTGACCACAGCTGGTATTGTGGACCTGTTGTAGATTGTGTCGTGGAAACAGAGGTGACCATCAAGTCTGTCTGTTGTGTTAGATATATAAACAGAGAATCCAAGAAATCTTGATGTGTAAGGATTTGAAGCACCTGAAAAAAATACATTTAGTTTCAGGGTTTCTAAGTAGGGCGACAACTTTATATGAGAAGAAAATTGACAAATCATATGTGATGGGGATTTTTTTCTCTATTTTTTACTAATCTGCTTTATATATGTAATTAGATATCTTAAAATGTTTGTTGAAAAAGATAATGAATTAAGGTTGTGTATAGTTTTAGAAAATATATTTGAAAGATTGTGGGGGTTTTTTTCTTTTTGGAAAGTAAGCTTTAATTTAATATTCTTTCAAGAAATTACAGTATTTTCAATCCAAGAATTATGCTAATCATATATTTTTATTTAAAAGATTTTTACTGGAACCCATCACAAAGATATTTAAAATCTTAAGACATCTATGTTTATCTGAAAATAAATTAAAATATCTTATAAAAAGAAGTTGTCCGCATGGTGAAGTTTATCTAGCGTCTGTTTGGAATCGTGAAATTAGGAGTTGATCCATATGTCGCAGGATTCGAATCCCACTGTGGATTGTGGAGAGCGGTCCTTTGTATAAAGCTATATAAACCGACGGCCCATGTCGTAGTGGATGCTGGCATGAAAAAGATCCCTCATGCTCAATGGGCCTGCGTGCTTAGTAAAAGACAACATTTGCAGGTCTCGGGTGAGTGGTGGCGTCTCCATATCAGTGAACAATTCTCGATGGAGAGGTTAAACAATATACAATCAATAAAATGGCAGAAAAATTATAATAATCTTCAAACTATAAATTTTGTCAAACACTGAGTTTCTGATTCGTCAGTATGAAAGCAAGGCTTTATTGTGAAGACTGAGAGACCAGTTGAATGCAGAGAGAGAGAGAGAGAGAGAGGACGTCAAGCTACATGTATGTATCAAGTGTGATTACAGAGGTTTTTTATTGCATCTTTCTTTTCTTGGTTATCCTTTTCTTTCATTATTTAAATTTCTTTTTGAGATACCCCATTCACATTCGAAACCATTTCTACAAATCTGCTTCAGATAATTGGAAATATTTACAGTAAAACTTATCCTAAGTTTTAGAAAAGCTCAAGACGAACGAAAACACTCAAAATATATCCTTCATTTCTTATTTTCAATTTACATGATTTTTTTTTTCTGTTAGTTTACCTTCCTTTGAAAATACTCAACTGATACACAATGCATACTCGATATGCACTTATTGTTTGAAAGGGCTGAAAACTTAGAAACTTGGATAATAAAAGAATACAAACTTTTTTGCGGCACTGTCTACTTTATAAGTATCATAATAAAAATTGCAGTGAATATAAGAATGAAACAAATTTTATGAGTTTGCAGTTTTAGTCTGACAAAAGATAACGAACGCGAGATCTAAAGATAAAAGTAATTAAAGAGGCTGGTCAATAGGAATTAAACTTTTAAATCGGACGGTCCCACGAAATAGATCATGGGAATGCAGCTGCTACTTGCTTGTTTATGAAAAAATGTATTTGGTTAGGGTGAATAAGGAACCAATAGTATTGAAGTGACCAGGGGTTAGATATTTGAATAAATTAGCTACAACAAATAATATTTAAAGATTTTGCAAAAGATTTAAATATTATTTGTTGTAGCTAATTTATTCAAATATCTGACCCCTGGTCACTTCAATACTATTGGTTCCTTATTCACCCTAACCAAATACATTTTTTCATAAACAAGCAAGTAGCAGCTGCATTCCCATGATCTATTTCGTGGGACCGTCCGATTTAAAAGTTTAATTCCTATTGATCAGCCTCTTTAATTACTTTTATCTTTAGATCTCGCGTTCGTTATCTTTTGTCAGACTAAAACTGCAAACTCATAAAATTTGTTTCATTCTTATATTCACTGCAATTTTTATTATGATATAAGTATAAAAAAATTTTGTTCATGATGTATCGACTCAGCATAAGGTCAAATGTGTTGTATCAATTGAGTCTTAAATGCTGTACAGTTGAATTGCTTTAGATTTATGTATTTTTCTTTGCGTGTGGTGTTAAAAAAACGAATAATTTGTATTTTTAGAGTATGTGATGTAATAATGTGGTTTTCCTCAATAATCTTATACAATAGAAAACATGACAAAATATGCAGGGCTTGTACAATGTTCAAATGTTACAATGTTATGTGGAAAATAATATCCAATTTGTTTAAATCTAATACATTCTACACATTAATATTTAAAGTGATCTATGTAATTAACTAACCCCATTTTTCATTTTCAGTTCTGTAATATATTAAGATGTGATGTATACTGACGACGGAAGTCAAATTTAGCCACCAGATGGCAGTTCTCTGTTTATCAGCTGATATCACACATTGTCCTCCCCATGCTCCGAGATCAGTTTTTAGTCCATCAACAGCGTTACTGGAGTGGAAAATATCATTTCCTAAGTTATATTGGTTTGATTGCCATGTCGGTTTAAACAAGGCAATATTTTCTGCAAATAAAAAAGAACATAGTCTAAGCTTATTTCTCATAATTATTGCAATTAGAAAATTAACTTCTCATCAGTTTAAGGTTTATTATGTATATTTTTCAGAGCAAGTCTTTAATAATAATAATTTATACGAGAGTTGTTGGAAAAAAATCTTAATGATAGCATTTTATACGTCGTCCGTCCGTCTTTCTGTCCGTCCGTCTATACGTCTGTAAACTTTTCACATTTTTCCAATTATCTGTTCGTCCATACGTCTGCAAACTTTTCACATTTTCTTAGTCTTCTCAAGACCTTTGGGGCCAATTTCAATCAAATTTGAATCAAAGCATCCTTTGGTGAGGGGGGGGGGGGTTAAATTCTTAAAATGAAGGGTCAAGTCTATGAGATTTTTTTTAACTGACAATTGATAAACATCAAAGGATATTAATCAGAAAATATATTTATGCATGTATCTTTTGGGTTTTTTAAAAATGTTTATCAAATTTATTATTACTTAGTGAAAATTCCAATTAAAGCCGCAGACGTGGAGAAAGTTGATTTGATTTTATAGGTAAAAAAGATAAAGAGCATAAATAACTTTCTATGTTCATACCTCAGTTTTTTTTTCTGTGGAGAACAAAATAGATCTATAGCAATTTAATGTATGGAACAGACACATGTTTGTATGTTCTAGTGATAAGGGCCAAACAAATTCAAACCAGTACATTTGTGTATGTTGATAAGTGATTTGTGAATTTTTCTTCTAGCTACTTAAAAAAATCAAGATAAGCAAAGATTGTGCTTTATACGTACATTTATAAGTAGTTAATCAACACTATGACATTAATATGCATAGAAGACAGGAACTTACCGTAGCAAAATACAAAATCCGTTGCAAATATCAGGGCAGCGATTGTTACTGCAGTCATGTCGAAAACAAATCTCCTTTACGCCTTACAAGGAAGTAAAATATACTGTTGACTAAACATACTTATTGTCGACACATTTAAGTGTCTACCGATTAAACTAATTTTAAAATCCAGCACACAATTTAAATATCCCCCAATAGAGAAATATGTGCACTGATCCGAAACTTTCGTGTTGCATTAATAATACGATTGTCCTTCATCTAACAGAAGAAAACAATAAAAAAAGAAAAAGAAACCGTTGGGTAACCAAACATAGTTCTTCTCTAGAAAAACTACTAGCTAAAACATTCGGGGGTAGTGTAAATTCCAAATTGTTTAAATAATGCGTAGGGAGGAACTGAAATTGGGAATCCAACTTTATCATTAAAATCAATATGAAAAAGGACTACTTGTCAAAAAAGGATTAAACTTATGTGCAGAACTCTGGTTAAGTAGATTCTTAATTGTGTTAATTGTGACACTTACCCCTACTATCTTGGAGAAATATATAATCGAAGTTTAACAATGATATATATAGTGACTTTCTATAAAAAGCCTTCTTTTCAATAGGCACGAAACAGAAGAGCGTAAACTTGTATGGATGCATTTTTGATTGGTGTAGATTCTTAATTGTTCAAGTCATGTTCTCAGGGAAGGGCTTGGCCAAAGAAAATAAGTTTACATTATAAGAAATATAAAACATCTTTATTTTTTTTTTATTTTTTTAAAGAAACACTTGGCAAGAAAAGCCTAAACCCAAGAGGAAGCATTCTGGTATAATATAACTTCAACGTTCAAAATAGGAAACCCAAGATTAACATTGAAAAAGGTTAAAACCCAGGATGACTTAGTTCTTGTTAATATCCATTTAATGATTAATTACATTAAAGGAAAAAGAAGATATTTGCATCTTCTTGAATAGCATGTTTATTCATATTTGCATGAAATCATACTCGGATAGTTTGGATTAAATTGTGTGCAATTCATAGCGTTGGTTAATTTGTAGGATTGGGACACACAAAACAGATTAAGGAAATTTAAGAAATACCCATCTGAAGGGGAGAAAATGCTGATGAAGGAATTAAGTGCTAACATAATTTAGGTTAGCATTCACCAGTTTGGGACCATGGACATATTGTTTAACATTGCCCTACTTAAATGTGGGTGAATTAAAAAAAATACTGTAACAAACCAAATTTAATCCCTTAAGATGCCACTATTGTGTAAGTGTAAATACTGTTCTTTATACTGTGGGGAACCCCTTGATTTTTATTTATAACTACCTGAGAGCTCGTGTTCGGGTAGTACCCAGAAAGTCACAACCGAGATAAGACCTGTTTGGCTTGTTGTGTTGAAGTAGCCGGGATGGGTACTTAAAGCTGGACACATCTCGTAAATAGGCATAGTCCGCCATATTTCCCATTCTTGAACGATCTCCCTACAACCCATATATATGGAGCATATCGCTAATCAGTTCAATGTATTTAACTGTGGAGATCCGACGAATGTAGACGTACATCTTACACTGCGTGTTACTCAATCTCGATGAAATTATCAAATTTTACGTATGTTCTCCAAAACAGGACAAAAGTATCATGAAAAAAACAGGTTAATACATTATTTAGAAACAGAAAATGCACATATAAACAAGAAATAAACGCAAAAAATCTAAGAACTCGAAAGGAGTACTACATGTCGGCCACGAGTTTCGAATGTGCAATCGGGTGAAAGGGAATTCAACGGTTTATATACCCGTCTGACTGTGCCTATTTATGAGAAGTGTTCAGCTTTAAACTACATCAGGTATTTGAAAAGGCAATTTGTAATATATGTTTTCTTGTTTCAGTCTACACGTTTAGTATGGTTGTTTTATTATATTTTTTCCCCAGGGTCTTTTTTCCTCGGGCTTTCGTTCCGTTTCGTAATTAACAGGTCTTGGGTGGGGTAATACAGCTAATTACATTAACAATCATAGTCAGTCGTCCAGGGTGAGAGGGAGAGGCTTACATTAGTTTTGCAGTTTTGCAGTTACAACCGCAAATATGAGGGATGGACACCTCGGGACCAGCAATTTAAAGTTATGTGTTGATATTGAATAAAGAATTCACCTTTTGAAAATTTATCAATTCAAGCCAAAGGTAATGCAGAAAATATTGCGCAAGCTTAAACACACTCAAATATGTGTTATTTGTGAAATTTTATTCAATTTGATTTGTGAAAGAAAAAATACGTTTTCAAGAGGAAATTCAAAACCAGAACTCAAGTCGAATATCACGTGTTTTTCTTGAGAATGTAACATTTTTTATGTGAGCCAATTTTTACTATGGGTGGCCTTAACCTAGCTGCGATCAAACAAAGTTTTCAAATTAGGAGTGAAATATTGACTGCTGTACATTTTATGTTCTGTAGAAAGTGCAATAATAACCTTGAACCCAAAATGCAATGACATAAGATAAAATCATGAATTGAAACAACTTCTTATATGGGCAGATCGAATGGAGCATTGATGTAAAAAGTATTTTTTTTTCAAATATATAGTTTGACATGACAAGAATAATAACAATGACTTTTATCAAATTTACAAAAAAAACATGTTCATCCTATATTAAGGACTGCAAACGTTACAATATAACACGTAGATATCTTATTGATTTTTTTTTGCTCAAAACTAAGCCCTATAACAGCAACATTATAACTTAGGATCCTTTAAGCATACAAAAAATATAATGTATAAAACAAAATGTACAATGTTTTTCGTCAATGTAGTATAAGAATGGTGATTGACGTTTGTAGTTAATCATTATTATTTCCAAATCCCTTACTGATGGTTTTCTATTGATTAGAGTATATGTTTTCAGAGCCTCGCTGAATGTGATCATTCACGGACTTGATGACAAGCCTATATTCCTCCTGTAAGAAAACACATGTATTGATAAATATTAAACATACCTATATAACTAAAATTGGCATGAGGTGTATTTATGTTATTTTGTTCATTTTGATAGGGAAAAAATCCAATTTTATTGTTAATTGAATAAAATAATTTCTCAAAATATCGCCAAAAATATTTCAACCACACAACACGTAAATAAAAGTTGCTGCAAGTATCGATGTAAAGAGTATTGATCCACCAGTCCTCCAGTCAAAAGTATTGATCCACCAAACATGCAAAGAAACATTTTTATGAAGAATTGACACTCTGGAGAAAACTGCTAAGGATAACAAATTGGCCTTTGTTAACATTTGAGTAATTACCTTATTATACCATTAGCCTTAATGTAATGAGATGCATTTTATATTTGTTAGGACTTACGAGACTGGAACAGAATTCAGGTCTTCGTACTTGAAGCTGTCTGACTGCTGTAAAAACATCCACGTTTGCGTCCATGTTAATTTGTTGAATAGCGTTGTGTACAGCACAAAATGCACCACAAAGGGCAGCCCCATCGCTACAGGGTAAATGATATTTTATTGAAAAAGTAAACCATTGAATTATTAAATTTCTTATCCATGCAAAAGTTTATTACATAATGACAGACCTGGATTAAAAAAGAAACTAGGTTAATAATATAGATTATGCTTTAACAAACTTGGGAAAAATTCTTCAAGCATTCTATACATATAGGTATTTCCATCCTTCTATGATGTCATAGATATTTGCAAAAAGTGTTAGCAATTTAAATGTATGTCAAGTAGAACACATTTTTTTCATAAGAATTCTTTTTAATAGGTGTATTGATAAATGTTGTTAGTAAAATAATTTTAAAAATGTGTATTTTCTTTTTTAATCAATAATTCAATCTTTATAAAATGATGACAAAGGCAATAACTCAGGTATCTTCATTCAGGCATTTTGTTTATAGCACTTCTTTTGTAAATTAGTTTCCCTGGTATTCACAATTCAAAATTATCTTATAAGTACCAAGTATATCGGAACTTTTAGTATCAGAATAATGCATTTGAACCTGTTTTTACATAATATTCATCATAATAATAACAAAAAAATGTACAATTTTTTTTTTTTCATGTTGACATATACTTTTGTTTATGTATGTCTCCTATCCTAAATAATATGGCGACCCATATATTTCTTTGCAATAACTAATAAATTTAAACTATATTAAATGAGAATAAATGCAGTTTTTGAACTTTTTACCATAACAATTATGAAGGTGGAAAAACCCATGTAATGATGATTGATCGCCATTTCTCATGTTATTATATTTTCATTTAACTATATTAAGATGCCGGTCAGCAGGATGTTATCGGTCATCCATGGCACCTGATCCCACCTTTAATGCTGTGAAGATCTGTGTTTGCTCTGGTTCTGTTTTTTATTGTGTCGTGGATTTCTGAGCTTGAATAATGTTTGTTTTCTCCATATTTCGTTTATAGAATTAATACATAACCTGCTGACAATGATGACAGGGTTTTCTGTTTCCACGCTTAGTGCAACAGAAACCAGACTTCGAAGCTGGGAAGTATCCAAATGTGTTCCAGAAGTCTTGATGCTAGACCTTGGCTCAATTATCGTCACTGTCTGAGGCTTCTTACTCTGTTAAACAAAGCTAACGTGTTAAATATTATGGTTGTTGTTTTTTCGTAGAGAGAGAGAGAGAGAGAGAGAGAGACGGCATAACCTGTGAACGTACATTTTTCTGCCGGATGTGAACAATTGAGCTGCTGACGTCAGTCTCAGTTTTTGATTGAAACTGGATGGTGAAAGGAGGCACCGAATTGGAGGAGGAGGTTTGACTTGGTAGCCACGCCTTACTCTAGAGAAAAACAAGAAATATGGATGTCATTGATAAAAAGACAACAAATGCTCTGTTTAACCACGAAGTCTCCATATGCGAATATTTTTAACGCATCTCCAATTAATTTAGAAACAACGCAACGCAGATAGTTTTTTTTCTTTAAATTGTAATTGTATTGATTTTTAAAACATAAATTATGAAGGAAAAAAATTCAAATTATAAAAGAAATAGACTTGATTAAAAAACACAATTTAGTGGTAAAAATGGAAAATTCTTTAAGACACATTATTGTAATTAAACAATAACAACATCAGCAGCAACAAACACATAATGTCATAACATATGGCTAACCAGCCTAAAATTGAGTAATTAGTTTACCTAAAATGTCTGTGAAATAAACAAAACTACCGTACATTTCCAAGAAAGCTTGAAGATGCATACCGATTCAATCTCACGCATGGGATCCATAAAAATAACAGTACTGGACTCTTGTTCACATAGCAGGCGCAGGATATCAACAGCGTCCCCTTCCGATGGATATTGCGTTACAATAAATTGTTGGTGAATGACTTAAAAAATTATTAGAAAAGGTGAACTATTTGAAAACCTTTATAATGATTTGTGATTAATGAAAACAAAGATATGATAAGACACTGTACGATGTTCCTTTATTTAATATTGACTATTTGCTGTCACAATTTTTACAAATTCACCTCACAAATTTCACTTTGTAGACTTGCTAAATATAAAAAATGTAGTATTTACTTTGCTGTAATCCGTTCGACATTTCTTACCGGTACGTATATCGCATTGATAAAACTTCCTCGATTCGTGACAGGTGTTGAAAGATAAATTATATATTTATCCACTAATTAAACAAAATAGAAAGAAAGAAATTAACCGACAATAACCAAAAGCAAATTCATTAGTTACCATTTTTAAACAGTTTATTGAAATTATGTTTTTTTTTAATCATGCACGAAATGTGAAGAGAAAATGGCATGTACACAGTTTGCAATCTAAATAGAGAAATTTAATTTATTTCTGTACAAATATGTTTCAAAACTTATTGCTAATGGTATACTCACATGGCAATACTTCCGTGGCATTTGCATCCCTACAATGCTCTTTAGCAATCTTAAAGTCGTCATCAGTGTAAATAGGCCGTATCTTCATCAAAAGCTAAGTGTCAGAACAAATAATAAAAGACTAGTATATGAATGTTTAAATTTACAATTAACTTTCATATTTTTCCCAGATAGAGATCAATAAAGAAAAACATGCAAAAAATTAGTATTTATTTAAGAAAAAAGCTAATTAAGTTTGTTAGTTGCATTGGAGAAGCATTCAAAAATTAGTACTTTTTTTAATATACAACATTTCAAGTCTTTACTCTGAATACAATAGATAGAAAAGAAGGAAAACTGGGGAAAATTTCACTAGAAGGTTTTAAAGCTTTCAATCTTATTTTTTTTTCTGTTTTGTTTTAGGCAATGAAAAATGGGTAATAAGTTTAATGATCAAAATTAGCAAGAACTGATGACAATAAAATGCGTAAATTATTCTCCTAATTTGAATGTTTAATAAATATATTGCAAACAAGAACCGTTTAAATATGATCAGCTGTTTAATCTAGGTATTAAATGTTAATATACAAGGTACTTGTGTATGCATATGTTTCACCTAATGTACATTTCTCTGCAAAACAGAGAATTTGCCATTAAAAAGATATTGCAGTGCAAACATAATTATATTAATAGCAATAAATAAATAAATAAATAAATAAATAAATAAATAAAAGATAAACATAGAAACAAACGTGTAAGAATTAATGAAATAGTGAAAAATCCTTATTTATATGTCGAAATTTTAGGAAACTATCTTTGATTCCTCTAATGTTGATTTAAAGAAAATACGAATCAATATACCCGGTATACCATGTATTATTAAATAGCAGAAAAAACTTAATTCACCGAGATTTTTGAATAAGAAAGAGGTTTTAAACTACTTCTTTTTCTTGTTTCGAGAACCCATGTTCACATACACATTTCATGATTGATCCTGTTGGATCGAAATGTTTAAGGTAACAAACAATAACCCTTATATCATTAGAATCTTTTCATTTTTTTCTTGCAATTTCTTTCTAAAATATACGAGGGTCATTCAAAAAGTTCGTAGACTTTTGTCATATCTTTTTTATTTAACGTCATATTATAACCAAATTTTGTACACATATTTAAACAACAGATTCAAATAATTTGAGCCAAAAAATTGGAAAATATCTTGATAATTATGAAAATTATCAAAGATTTAGGGCAGAAAAAATGGGGTCACGGAGCAGGGTCAAAATTGACCTGTTTTCTAATCATATACTTTATAATGTCCAGAGTCTTACCTCTAATAAATGACTCTTAAACGAAATAAAATTGAATTGTTTAAATTAAGTATTGTTCAATTACTTCAGATGCTAAAATTTAATGTAATACATTGCTTCGTTTAAAAGTTATCGATCTTAAAAGGCATATAGACTTCATGTAATAAAGCAAAAAATTATGACGTCGAAGGACGTCACGGAGCAGGAAGTACCGATTAAATTTTGTTTTGCATTCGGGAAACCTTTAAAACGAACTCTGAGAATGCTTGAAGAACTAGGAAATAAATACAAAATGTGTTATGCTTTGCTTATAGTGGGAATGACTATTTTTTTGAGTGTTAGAGACTTGGAATCGGACCATGAACGGTTTGCAAAGAAACAAATTATAGTTAAAAAATCTTGTCAAAGAGTTAGTAACGTCATAAAATGTCATGTGCGCTTCACTTTTGCGGAACTTGTGCATGCAAACAAGAGTTATGCTATAAAGAATTTGAAAAAATTAATATTTCAACTTAAGGTACTTAAACAATTGCTAGCAAACTAGGTGTAAAGGGATATAGATTCATGAATTCAGAAGAAGCAACAAACCGTGGATGAAATGAAAAGGCAAAGTAGTTTTAAGAACATTTCTCCACGTTGTTTTTGACGTCACAGTGTTATTGACCGTGCTCCGTGGTAACAAAACATGCTACTTTTAAAATTGTCTAACAGGAGTTCCATTAAATCAAATGGAATGAAACTTTACACACTGACAAAATAAATGTTTTTACATATAAAATGTGTTGATCTAAAATTTTGTTAGAATAATATGATGATGGAGGACATTGTCTACGTATTTTTTGAATGACCCTCGTATATCTTTTTCCCGCAACTCTAATTTTAATTCCATTACATTTATACTTTTTGAAGCCAAATTATATTTTCGCACTTCTTATTTTTCTATTGATTACCTGAAACTCTTTTCGTAAAATACTATGATTGGCGGGTTCGTCAATCGTCATGGTTCCAGCCCTTTTGGTAAAGTCTTCAATAGTACTGCTGTTTATTGGCGCATTAAATATTTCATTCAATGCCAGAAAAACTGTCATGTACTGTTCCTAAAGTATAAAAAAAATGATAAATTTGCATTAAAAAAAAAACAATATTTTTTCTTGTCTTTGCTAATAAATTATAATTATTTTCAAAATTCTTCCGGTTAGGAAAATGTACATGAATACTTTTCGAACAATATGATACATATATCAAAAGTAATAATAATTACAAAAATATAGAAAAAAGAATGAAATAGGAAAAATATTTATTTCCCCAAGTAGTAAAGCACCAGGTGATTTTTAAAAATTTCCCTTTTGTCTTGCATATTTTGCATATGGAATGAATAACAATTTTCTGCCTATGTAAAGTATTCGCAGGGGTGATAAGGAAGCATACAAAATATTCTACCTTGACTAAATCAGTGCTACATTATGACGTCATAGTAAGCAAGATGACGTCAATTTTAAAACACAAGTTTTCGTAATATTGGTATTTAGAGATGTTATATAACTCTAGAAAATGAATATTTACATTTGCAAATGTTTTCCTTTATATAATACTACTGAAGGCAAGCGTTTTTATAACTGTATAAATACAGCTACGGGGTCAAGAGGTCATAGATATGCGTTTGGATAAATGTTCGACGTAATCTCTTTGTGACGTCATAAAGGGTCGACGCGCGTAAATGTAAAACGGGTTGGCACATGATCAAATCTTCCATAAAGCCCTTTGGGCTTTATGGGATTTGATCACGCGACCAACCCGTTTTACATCTCAATAAAACTAAAAAAATGACACCTTATTTCTTAAATAGAAACGTGTAAACACTAACAAAAATAAAATGATTTTATTTTGTTATGCTGTATCTGTCATTTCTTTTAAAATCTACCAACGATGACGTCATATGTGTACATCAAGTAAATTGGGAATTGATCATGTCGTGTAAAGAGAATTTGGCTACGACGGCTTGTACAAAGATACGTGAAATGGAGTTTAAAAGCAAATATCATTAATATTATGTAAAATGTATATGGATTTCAGTAAATAAAACAGGTATGCTAATTTATTTACTTGGAAAGTGCTGCTAGAATCCCTAGTTAAGCATGATTTTACGAAAAATCTCGGTTGATAAGTATAAAATTCAAAACACAGGGTAAGGTTTTGTGCGAATATGTGGAATAATTATTTTAATGACAGGACAGTGGGATTCTAGCAGCACCTTTTAGGCAAAATAGATGTTTTTCAACTATATTATTTATTCAAAGAAATTAGTAAACTCCGGGGTATTGTTCTTCTGTTAGCCTTTTTATTAAGGAAAATTTCGCTATATATAGAAGTCACGTGATCCTGTAGCAGTGGTGCACGTCTTTGTTTTAGACACTCTTTTATATGTATTCAGTAGTTAATAACAATCGACATTTATCAGCGGTTTTGGTACTTTATCAAACTAAATTTTCTTTAAAAAGTCTAAATTTTCCGAGAAATGACTTATATGCTTCCTTAACATACCCGCGTTTAAAGAAACCCATGAGGCTTAATAACAAATTGATCATCAGCAAACTATTTTTTACCTAATCGATGAATCAGTATAAATACATTAAAAGAAATAAAA